GTGACTTGCTTTTTACGGACTTACTAAAGCGGGGTGCCTGAAAAAAACGTCTGCCTTAAGTATAGTTTATTTTTATTTGATGCGTCTTATTAAACAAAAAAAGTAAAACAGGAATTTACAGGGAATCAAACTGCGGTCTCTGCTGTCACTGCCCATAATATTATCTGCTCATCGATCTTTTCAATATTACGAGATTTAGTTTTATTTAAATTTATATTTGTATATATTTGATGATGTTTTTTAAATTGGGATCTTTTGCCGCTAACAATGGGCTTTGGGGTCGTATAAATACTTTATACACTTTTCACCCCCGCCTTTTTTTTTTTAATATAAAAATTTATTCAAATAAAAAAGGTGAGGAGATACCCTAGATACTTTTAAAAATCTAGGGTATCTCCTCCACCTTTTTTTTTTCAACTGGGGAGGGGGGAGGGTATATGAAAAACGTACGAACTTTTTATGGGGGGTAGAGGCTTAAAAGTATGCATGGCGACAAGGGGAGGGGGTGTCATATTTCAGAATTTTTGGCGTACATACTTTATGGACGACCCCTTAGAAGAGTTTAATTTAAGATTTAATTCAAGAGCTTTTACCAAAATAATAAAATGCAAAACAAAAACATTTAATTATATAAGTATATTTATTTAAAAAAAAAACAAATATTTTTACACATTTGATTATAAATTATCAAAATAAAACAATAGTAAATTTTGTACACCTTTATCTTTAAAATACGTCATTCTATTATATAATCTAAAAAATGTTCAAAATATCAGTGATCCAAAATAAGAGTCATGGTTTCAAACCAACCATTAACTTGTTATTTAAATTCTATTTCAATAGGTTTTATTAAATGGTAAAACATTTTAATAGTTTAAAACTTAAGTTAAACCATTAAAATTATTATGCATAAAATATAAAACTATCAAATAAAATGAATAAATAATATATCTTCATAAAAATTACTAAATAATATAACGAAATACGCATAAAAACCTTTTTAACGAATAGCAAAAATTTACTAATTAAAAAAAACATATCAATTCTCAACTTTGTTTTTATATATTGGATAAATACGTCATGATAAATTTGAAATAAAAAACTAATGTAAAGTAAATCACATTTAAAAATTGAAAATCGATATACTTGTGCATTTTTGGTAACCTTTTGTGATATTGAAGTAAATTCTATTTATTTCATTTCTTTATTGAATAATAATGGAGCCACATTAGTGGGTATTAAAATTAAAACTTAAAATAACAATGGGGCTTCACAGAATAAAGTTGTTTTTTATTTTATTTTCCACAGATAATACCATCTTTGTTTTAGAACTTTTAGAAATGAAATATTTCTTTTTGTACTTCATTTGGTTTTGCTTTTGTTGTTCTTCAATTTAGTTATTTTTTTTGATTTTAAATATTGTCAGCCATTATTGTTTGTTATGGTGGCACAGGTAACTATTTATAAGGCTAAGTCTGTATTTACGCAACAAAGTATCTAGATTAGGCAACCATGTACTATAAACATACTTGTAGTGCTTGAGTACATGTCATACCCAAAAAACATTTTAGCACATTTCTTGTAAGAGTCTAGCTTTCGAGCATTTCTTGAATCAACTAATTAATATGTTTGTATGTGTATATGGACATTTAGTCTCTCAATTTATATCAGCATTATCAAACAAACCATTTTTTATTTTGTGACCCAGATACTTGAATTTGTCAATGAAAACAAATTTACATCCAGCTAATATAAACAGTGGAAAATTGCTTGATGCAATCTTAATTTTCTGATTTAGGTTAAAGACCATAAACACTATTTTTTTTGTATTAAATGACATGTTAATGGCAGTGGCTTCAACATTTAATGCACTTAAAATTTTTTCCAATGCAAACTAAGAAATTGGTTCAGGAATATCTAGATCTATTGCGTCACGCTCTTGGAGCGAGACGCAAGTCTCGCTCCAAGAATATATATAGAATATCTAAACTATAGAATATATAAAGATATATAAACTATAAGAATATATAAACTATAGAGAAAACAACTTGAAAAATCTTCTAGCTTCTTTTTTAAGAAACTTTGAAGAATAATCTTCACAGACCAACATTTTTTTTAACTTTTGCAAGTGAAATATAACAGGAAATTGGGTTTGAAATTAGGTACTAAGAAAATAATTCCCAAAAAAGTTGCCGAAAAATTCGCTTAAGTTTATATTCTAAACTTGTCACACGAAAAAAGTCACGTGACTGAAGTGCCTACATAAAGCATAAAAATAAAATAAAATATCCTGACAGAATACACAACTTTAATGCTCTATTACTTGAAGTCAAAATATAATATTGAAATTTTTTTTTTTTGGTCTGCTACAAACACTCTTGGTTAAGAAATATAAAACAGAAAACCATTATAAAAAAAACATTGTAAAAAATTATTCTTTTTTTTTTAGTAAGCAGAACATAATAAAAAGTGCAAAAAGAAAGAAATTTACTTCCTCTTACTACTTCTTAATATCAGAAATAAGATCAATTTTACTGTTAAATAGCTTAAATTAGGTCAAATTTGAGCAGCCATGGCGCAGTGGTTAGAGTTCTGGCTCAGAACCCAGAGGTCCAAGCTTCCACACCTGCTCCAGCCCAACAAGCGACATGAGGGAACTTCCATTTATGCTCTGGAAGGGGCTCCGTAAGAAGACCGTAAGAACCTGTGAAAGCACCTAAATAACTACATTAAAAAAAAAAAAAAAGATCGTCGGGTCAAATCTAGTTTTTCGTAAATTCCAAGATATTTTTAATATTAAGGTATCTCTGATATCTTAAACTTGTTTCGTTGGGGCACTTTTTAAAAAGGGTCATAAAATTTTCAGCCATTTTTTTTTCATATTCAGTTTATATAAAATTATTATTTTTTAAAATAATATTTTGCTTAAAAGAAAAAAATTGTTCTATAACTTATCTGTAAAGTTTTTCAAAAGACAACAAGTTTTTAAACCAAGTTTTTTTAAATCCGAAATATTTATTTGTACAATCAAAGAAGACAATTTATAACTAATTAATGTAATTATATTTTAATTAACTTTTTTTTTTTCTTCAAAAAACGTTAATAATAATGTGTTATAGTTAAAAGTTAATTTCTAAAATGGGGAGTGGGTGTGAATGTGAATGGGGAGTGGGTGTGAATGTGAAATATGTTCCGAATGGAGATTGTTAGTAAAATCAAATTTGTATTATGAAAAGTCAAGTTAATAAAAACTTCATAAAAACTCTAAATTCTAAATGTTGTACTTAAGAAACCCGTGTTGAGACTTTGGCGCCTTTTCAATTTATAAGCTCGTCACATTTTTAAAGTTTTAGAAGTAAATAGAACCTTAAATATAAAAAAAGGACTTATTGATTTGCTGTTTTTGCGAATATTTTGAATATTAATAATTTAAAACGTTAGGTTTTTTTGTTATGGTTTGTTCATGTAACTATGAATAAACCATTACAATAAAACTTCTTTTTATGGATAAATCTCTTTATTTGTACAATATTGAACAACTTTTTTGTAAAAAATATTTAAAAATTTCTCTTTAGATTGTATTTTAGATTATATATTATATTATACATATAAAGAATTTTATCCATACATTTTTTATATACTATTAGCTCTTTAAAAGTGT